CATCTCATCCTATCCCATGCCACCCCATGCCACCCATGCACCCATGACATCCATGCCATGCCATCCCATCCCATCCCATCCGGGAATCCAATCCCAAAAAATAAAAAATAATATAAATAATATAAAGAACATGTAAATAATATAAATTAATCAAAGTAGTTAATATGATCATGAAGCACACCTTAACAATTCTTTCACCGAGAGAAATCTTCTGATGGGGCAAGTCTCTTTTTAATATTTTAAATATCTTGCTTAGACCAATGACCCTCTCTACATGAATCCTCTTAGATGCGATACGTCTATCCCTAACAACTGTCTCTGCATTAAGTTGGAATTTCCCTTTGAGCATTGATGGCGTGTTTACGTGCACGTCTTTACTAGCAAACAGATCCTGAACCATAATTCCTCTATCTGACATGATGCTGTCACCCCTGTCAAACATACCACTACTACACAGCTCAGACCTCTCAATAATTTGACGGTCACTGGCGCTACCACCATAGCTATCACTGACGTTATTAAAAGGTCTCTTGGGCTACAGCCGATCATCGTTTTTAAAGTGTTCTTGTTTTGGTACATAGAAAATGTAACACTCTGGTCATCAACTCTACTTGGTTTGTGAATAGGAGTCTTGGTTGCATCTAAAATAACTCTTGTGTTTGGGAACAGTTTGTTGAAATTTGTTGGCATATACGTGTCAATAGTTTCCCGATCTGGCCACATGTTGATTTCGCTCAGTTGAAAAAAAAGCAAATTTATCCAAGTATTAATTATGTCTGACACTGTTGACAGAGACACCTTAAACCTTATCGAAAGATACGCATCATCAAAACACTGCCTGAGCTTCATAAGTGTCATGAAGCACTGGTCTTCTGGAGAAATCAGATGACATTTGATCGCAGCTCAAATGGTGAATGGCACGTCCAAGTACACTGATGAATAATTTAAAATGTATGTAGCTATGAAAACCAGTGAAATATTGTACAGCAGAATTGTCATGTTCATAAAGTTGAATGCTTTCTCGAGCATTTGAGACACTTAGAAGTGAGCACTGAGATGCCGAATCAGTCGTCTGCGAGTCCTGAGATGTCAATCGCTCCGTCAGACCATGTCCTCAGAAAATGTCTAAAATCTGCATTGTGCCCCATTGACCTTTGACCTGTGACCTCCAATTTCTGCACAGTGATGGCTTTTCCTACCATGATGCTATGCACCGACTATCACGAGCCTAGGTCGAGCCGTTTAGATTTGTGCCGCAATTCTGCATTTCCTCCCTATACTTTAAGTTAAGGAGGGAATGTTCCCTCTTCTTTTACACTTCTTGACCTTTGACCTTTGACCCCCCAGCTTCGACATCCCAACTCGTTTTCGGATTACCCACCACGTCCCGACTTTTGAATCTGTAGGGGAGACCGGGGACAATTGTAACACTTTTTTCCAAATCTGACATAACAACTTTATTATAGTTAAATACTT